CTACAGTACAACAGCAGTTCCACTAGCAATTTAGTATCGTATAGTTGATTGAAATATCATGTCAATTTTGTTGAGGCAGATAGTGTTACAAAAGCAATTTCATGCCTTAAAAAATGGATTATTGTATCATCGTCATAAAGGCAATATGGACGATAATGTCGACGGGGTCCACCTTCGTTGCCATCATCACCGCCATAACCATCAAAATAATGCAATCAACAACACTGAAATACTTGGTCCAACCTGACACTGACAATATCACATCGTCTTCCATCACAGTTTATTCACTCAAAAACTACACGTACAGTACAGTGAAAGACGTTTTACAAAGAAATACATCACCTGGAGGCATTCACTTGTGTGAATACAACAATAAGTTATTGGAACTAAAACAAATATATTAAGCACAAAATTAATGATGAAAACGATTCTATTATATCTGGGTCAAGTGTGCATATTCTGTACTAAATTTTACTACTAAGGCTATTATGCGATAACTTTTCTTCATTCATATTTCCAAGTTTCTGGTTACTTATCAATCAGGGTCAGCATTAATTATTTTCTTACTTTTTCCTGCTTCTTTTTTAATTTGTTGTATATGCATATCTCCGACGTAAATAAATGCTAAGACGCTTTGCTGCTGCAACTTCTATGCTACTTCTACCGTTACTACGTCTGACTGATTGCCAGTCTGCAATTGCTACTAAACAAACAGATCATTTTCAAAGTGCCGACTAACTTTACCTGTGGCAATAGTTCAATTATCTCAAATACGTACATGCTTTCTTGGGTTACTTCAGCATTTTTTTTTTAAAGCCTCTTAATTTCTTTAAATCATAAGCTTAAAGATATTACCTCTTAAAAGCATGCTAAATTAGAACAAAAACTGCCGATCGTAATCGAAGTTCCATAAATGTGGAATACCAATGCAATGTCAATATGCTCACGCAGCATATGCAGGTACATCTACAATATTAACATAATATGAACATATACCATACGGTATCTAAAATGTCAATACACCATAGAACATGCAAACAAAGTCTCTAAGCAACAGTGGTGTCACATTTCCCCAACAGGTGGTCCACTGTTTCCCCCCAAATGAGCCAAACCTACTTCTGCCCCATCATGGTTGGGGGCTGAGGTAAAAGAAAAATTAATGTCTTCTCTAAATGTCTGAAAACAACTGTCTCTGGCTTAGAAAATAATCATAATTATTTTTTCCTTGACATACTGTATGTTACCTCGATGGCTGAGACAAGTGCTTCCGACGGCTGGGTCAGGGCACAGCTGCTCTACCGGGGGGTTTGCTCGAAGATAGAGGTTCTGCCAAACTACAAAAATCCCTGGATACAGGACCACAACATGTGTTGAATACATAAGTAAATACCTGAACAACAGTTTATCATTACACCATACACTATTACAGCTTCATTATTTGTAAATTCTTTGTGCATGTTATCGTGTTGTGTGTGTGTTACACGAACCAGTGTTATTTTAGGTGGCACGCGCACGCGCAGGGATGCGTTGGATGCGACTTAAAATATAAAATTTATTATTTGTCTACGTTATAACATTATGAGCTCGCATTCATCATTATATGCTTGTTAAAATTGATAACATACTGAATCCATCTTCTTGCAATTAACTGAGAGAGGACAGGATACTGCAACAAAATTGTCCAGGTGTTTCCAGGTGTCATTAGCGTGTTTCATCTGATGCCGGTGTAATGACTACCGTACAGACTGTGACATATGCAGAGGGTTAACCATCTCCTCAAATGAAGCATTTTTCACATTTGCACCGCGTAGGTTTGCATCTTGTAAATCACACCCGGACAAGATACAATTCTAAAGAAAAAAAAACAAAACAGAAACTTTGGTTGTTATGCACCATCTGCACAGTATTACAACCACCATCTGCACAGTGCTATAACCACCATTTGCACAGTATTATCTAAACTTTTATAGAAGCTTTCTAAATGTTAAATAACAATAAAAGGAATTAATAGTTTATAATGAATAACATATTAGTAGTCATTCTTGACAATATTCTAATAAAGAACGAAACATAGAATCAATTATGGCCTCAGGTTTGTTAATCTCTAGAGTACCCATACTCATATAAATATTCGTAATGTTTATCAGTTTTATCAAATCATAAATATAGACATTTCTATATCAAATTTGCATACAATGGTAAATGCATACAGTACATTGTTACCCGAGCATTATAGGAATTGTTATTTTAAGATAGTCAAAGATTACTACTCATTAAATACTGCAAAACTTCATACAAAAGCACACAATATCCTGTAACAACTTACAAGTTACTAAATAAGATAAAAAAGAATATATTGTTTGAAGGTTTGCATGACAAAGAAACGATAAGTGCTTGCTATAAACCATGTAGATGTTTTTGTTGAAAATGTTCCGATTGAGTTTGAGCTTTAATCATCATCAGGACAATAACAACTTATTCTACTGAGGAAGAATCATCAAGACACACTCAACAAAAACAACAGTTATTAAAAGCACAGGTTGTTACCTACTTTACAACAGATAAAAACAACATTTCTTTTTAATATATTTGTCATTATTATATATAAGGAGTCCACAGCAGACAAGGCCAATCAGCTAAACTGGTGGTAGCCACTCAGTGAATACCGTACTTTACCAGGGAGAGATTTTCAGACCTATGGCTCCCAATTCAATACTATTGCTACACTCTTTGTGTTTTAACTGGAGGGCTGAAATTTGTTACAATAGATCACCACCTTTTGGAAATGTTTTCATGTACACAATGCATGTTAAACATATGCTGTACGCTCATCAGAAAAATAAGAATTGTGTGTACTGTCCAATTCACCAATAAAGACAGCCCTGGAAATAAGTGCTTGGCTTTCTGTGGATTATTCTTGTTGTGTTTCACAGCAAAGAAATCCATATACCACAATTAAACCATGGAGAAATTAGCTTCCTCCACACTTAAAGATACCATAAATGCTACAATAATCACCTGTGTTCATTGCCACTTTATCCCTTGATGTTATATTTTATTACCTTGATATTGTATCATGAAAATGTAGTAAAGACAAAAATGTTACTACACCTCAATTCCCATCCTGAATAAAATTTACGTATAATAATAACTATAGTAGACAATATAAAATACTGAAAATGGAAATACACAACTTCTAAGGTAAATGGCAAATGGCATACAGATTTGAGGCACGACCTCATTACTGAAAATACACATGAAAGTGAGTATGCCGTATCAGCGGGCACGTTTACGACTTCATATCTCTTTCTGAACGAATCATAATAATAAATCTTGATGGGATAAATTGAGAGAAGAAACAGACGGCAATCATGTCTTTAATATGTTTCATACTTATTCTGGTTTTAGTTTGAATAGATTTGGTACAGCCAGCAAATGTTATTCACACACACAAATACACACAATGAATAGAACTTGTACAAACATAAAACAACATGGCTACCCACATTTTTCATCATGGAACATCAAGTAAAAATATCAAAATATTATACTATATAATACAGGGTAATAAAAATAATTAATATAATACAAATAATAATAATTATTAAATAATAAAAATAATAAGTATAACAAAAAACCCCATAATAATAATAATAATAATAATAATAATAATATTTCTGATTGTAAAATAGAACACATGCCTTTTCCTCATTGAAACAGTAAGAAATTTAGTTTGAAATCATGAAACAAGAAGTTATATAAATAAAACTTGGTGCTACAGGGCTCTGATGATACTGGTGAGGATGAAGTGAAAACTTCTAACCATCACACTATAGAACTCAACCCGTCAAGTCTGATGGATTTCCAGTTTTTGTTCTGTTGCAATGATTCATTTTCCTAAATTTTTAGTGTTGAGGGCAAAGGCAGTTTATGCATTTCACAGCAAACACAAATAAATCTTGTAGAAAATACAGTCATGTGTTGATATAACATACGCCTTTACAGTCAAGTGTTGATATAACATACGCCTTTACAGTGAACACATTGATACAAAATGTCACTTTGATATCGCATTTAGTTTTCCCCAGTTTCTGCTGAGGCAGCGTTGAACACTGTGATGATCTCTAAGGAATTGCTAGCGCTGATAGTCGTGTTTGCATACTTTATGTTGTATTCTTGTTTTGAGAAAATAGCACATTAAAAAAATATAATTTGAAGAAATTCTGGAATGCGTGAAATATATATATGCCTTGCGTGAGAACGTGAGGTCGAAGTTAAATGTGTGGGACTCTGCGAAATGCGTGAGACTTGACAGGTCTGTTTTCACTGAATCCAACCTTTGTCAGATAACGCTTGAGGAAAGGCAAATTTTGGAAATTTGTGTTAAATTGCATTCTCATAATAGTTTATGACCACTTAATAATCTATGAATTGATCACAAGATTATCCAATCAAAATAGTATTTGACTACTTTGTGGAGAAGGGCCAAAGATGTCTACACAAACAATTTTAAGGTTTTAATGTGATGGAATACTGCAAATTCTAAGGTACAAACACATGTTTTAATTTTTGTTACCCGCTTTGGTTTTAGTTTTCTTTTATTTTCTGTAATTAATTTTATTCTTTGTTTAACATTAGTTAAGTTTGATTATTATGTCTGTTATGGCATTGATGAAAAACACCATCGAGGTGATCAATTGTTTACCGTGGTTAAATGAAGTTTTTATTATTATTATTATTATTATTATTATTATAATTCTCCTCCCCTACTCCAAGTTATTCTTCTCACTTAGCCCATATATTTTCCAAAATTACCCCAAGTATTATTCTTACTTACTCAAAGTATTCCCCTCCCTACCCTATCCCAAGAACTCTCCTCTTCAAGTCATTAACCGGTTCTTTAAATAACTTACACAGCTAATCAAATTAATACACTATATGTGCATCTAGCAAAAATTAAGAAAAAAGTAAAAATAAAGAATATGGAAATAAAAGAGGTTCCAGATGACAAATCTTGATTGCGTACAGCTCTATGTAGATGACGCATTCCTACGCTACATGTTATTAATTGTGTCCAATAAATTGACACAATGCAATTTGGTATTGATTATGAATTGTAAACATTTGTAATTAGGAAGGTAAATGAATCACAAGACCTTCTCGAAACTGTTTGCTTTACTTGAGCTAAAATACTCAACAAATAAATGTTATCAGACTGATGGTTCCTTTGATACCTTTGACCAAGAAACTGACGACAGCCAGCAGACTACTTGAGCAAAGTGCATACAGGCTAATTGTTTTATGCATAACACAATAATAACATAAATATACTATACTATTAAATATACATATTAAAAAAAAAAAAAACTTTAAAAAAGTCGAATAATCCTATGAGAAAAAATTATATACTAGTTCTTTAATTATTATGTACCATTCTGTTTGCTAACAGACAGACAGACAGCAGTGAATAATAACCTCCTTTGGTGGAGGTAAAATGTAAGATGACTGGAGATTAGAGTGATTTTGTTAATAGTTAAAAGGGCTATGATATGATTATGACATTCATATGCAATGTTAATTTTAATTGAATATGTATAATATATGTATAAATAAATATATATACATACATACATATATACACACACACACACATATATATATATACACACACACGCACACATATATATTTATACATATATTTAT